TAATCTAAAGGTTAACATACTTGTGATTTTGCAGCTCTGAGACTAGAAGTAGACTGAAAGCTGAATGAGTTTGCAGAATCATCTCTGTTTGTTTTTATGCTGGCTAACTTTTTCAGTTCTTTAAACTGCAGCACTTTTAAAGTATAAACATAATATATTTAAATATATCTCATCAATCAAATATGGAACAGAGCAGTTTTCTTTAATGTTATTAAAGCGAATTGTTAAGCTGTGTACAATGTATATATAAGGGGTTGCCACAAAAAAAATCTAAGTTATGTAATTAAAACAGAACATGATTCTTAGACTTGAGGTTTTTACTAAGTCTGTTTAGCATGACATGTTTAGTATCTTTTTTTTTAGATTCTTGTATTTTTGATCATGCTTTAAGGTTCTAATTTTGGTGATCGTCTCAAGTACAGATTTTCTTTAAATTCCTTTGTATTATTGTGTTTGCCCATTGGCCATTTTCCTTTAGCTCCTTCGGTTAAGCTCATCACATTAGTGTAGTATGTCCTGTTTTTTTTACTAACCTTACTTAATTGTCATTGATCAGCTTCCCCTGCAGTTATGGGCTGTGGCTTTCGCTTTGCTCCTTCTCAGATCCTGCAGGTTAATGGTCCTCCTGTTTCTTGTCGTTTTTCTTGTCATTCCTCCACAGCAGGAAGCTGTAATGCCTCCCCATCATGTATGCAGGAACAATGCTTAAGTGATTCATTTACTGTGAGGTCTCATTTAACATTCAGAAGAGTTGACCACATATGGCTGGTGAAGGCTTTCTCAGGCCTCTATCTGGCTTGAGACAACCTTTTCTATTTATTTAGCTTGGTTTATTGCAATCTAAATTTAACGTGATGAGTACGCTTCGGCAGGGAACATAGTGCTGAGAGGGACAAATCAATGTTTCTCTATGTGCAGCCCAGAAGGAAATGCAAGCTTTTCTTCCTGCAACGACTGCCCTCCTTCAGCCTGAGTGATCTACAGTCACATTCCTGAGGTCTAAAACCTTCACTGAACAAGTGCAGCATGTTTTAACTGCTTACTGTTTTTTTATGTTTTAGTTTATACATGTGTAAAAGCCAGGTTTTTAGGATTTGAGTAGCGAAGAAGTAGTAAAAATGAACCCCTATATTATAAGTAGGTTATTGTCTGTGTTTCATTATAAATGTGAGATTACAGGAAAGCTTTCTTTACTTTTATGCTGTTAATGGGATTGAAATCCACATTAATCTATCCATGTTTTATATTTGCTTAATCCTGCTTGGTGTGCCTCATTCTAAATTCTAAATTATACAATTTATAAGCAGGCATTCATTTCTGTACAAGGATACAGGAGTACCCAGAGAAATCCCATAAATTCTTAAAGAGAACAGGGAAACTCCAAAGAGAAAGCAGGAAGCAATATACTGATGTAAAATCCTTCATTGTGTTATGATACTTTTAAGTTTGATTATGCATTCTCAATTAGGCAACCTTGCATAATACTATGGAATATTGAACATTTTAATTAATACCTGTATTGCTGTTTCACTACCTGTTGTATACTGGAATATTTGTGCAAGTATCCCAGGTTAGAACATGTGCAATGCATTCTTGATTTTTGGATTTCACTAGTTTGAAGCTATAGTTTAGTGACTTTAAAACAAAAATCATTAAATCCTTCATGCACTATAGGAGGGTTCCCAAAGTGGGGGTCTTAAAGACACATAAATCCCTCGACAAATTTGTTCTTACAATCATTGTGATGTAATCCCTGAGGTATATGAAGTGCCAATTATATCAAAATACATACATGCAAAAGAAGTAAATAAATGCATGATAGAATAACAAGATGTAACATATATTTATTTATCTAACACATAATATAAAGTTCAAATATACCATTAAACTTTAAAATGCACATTAAAATAATAAAATGCCCTGATAAATAAATTCAAAAAGTTTAAATTACTGAATAAATTAATGAAATCTAATTTAAAGTTTAGAAAATGAATATATCCTATTCTCGTTATTTTCATAAATAAATATATAGATCAAAGTAATAATACAGAATTTGATTTTAGGGGGTTGCCAGTCTGTTGCATTGTTATTTTTGGGGTCAAATAAAAAAAAAAGACATTTGCAAAAAATTTGTGTATAAACACAACTGCATGACTTTATTAGGTGTAACTCGTATGTTAGGCTACACGCTAAAAGCAAGGCTAGCCTGTTTACTGTTTGTACTGCAATGTGTTTTTTTTATGAAAATAAAACAAAACTTAAAATCCTTTCTGCTGGTGTTCCTGCAAAAAAATAAAATAAAAATAAAAATGCAGTGGTGCACTTCAAACTGTTTTTTTTCCACCCATGGTTTTGTCTTCCACTTAATGATGGAGAGACTCAAACAAATCTTTAAGAGCTGTGCTCAGCTGATGATAAGGTGATGGATAGTCGGGCGTCTGGAGGAGCTAATTGTTGGACAGCTTTTGGAGGCAGGTTCTGTCCCTCTCCTCTATCCGCGAGTCTCCTCATTAGTAGGTGCTGATGAGCCTGGCAAGGTTGAGAAAGGAAAGATTTTTAATCAGACCTGCAGCATGCCACCTCCTGGGTTGCATGTATATGTTGCAGTATTTATATTTTAATAACTGAATCATGATAAATTTACTTTTCTGTAAAATCTCTCTGTTGACATCATAGGTACTTAGATGAGGAATATCACATTTCAAGTATCACAAAGTTCAAGATAACAACCTCAGAGCAGTGATATCATTCTACCAAAGCAATGTTTGTGTTCAAGCAGCAGGATGGAAAGTAAAAGTGACAAGTCTGCTGACTGGAAATATCAGGCTGTGAATCATCTGATTGCCTGCCAGTTAAGGTGTTTGGAGAGCATCATACCAAAAGTCAGAAACAGCAGACAACTTAGGGGATTTAGATAATCCGTAGCAAAATAATTTGGTGAATCAAACCATAGAAAGAAATAGATGTTTATTTTTTAAGCAACCTCCCTTTTCCTGCATCATTTCTTCAGCTAAATTAATGAAAAAAAAATTATTATAGATGTTGACAGAGAGCAAGCAGTTTTTTTTTTCTAGTAAAAAAGGTGTTATAAATAATTCTGTGTAGATAATCAGATGAAGGAGGATGCATTTCTGACTTCCTGTGTTGCTGTTTTTACCCCGTTTCTTCATTACATGACTTTCATTTATTCATTTAGTACTTAGCTGATAAGCTCATGCTGGTCGATATGCTCTTATGGTCAGGAAGAAGTAATGCACAAAAAACTGGTAAATGAACAAAAGTTGAAATGAAAACTTCATAATGTTGGATAGAGACTATAAATAAACAAAGAAAGTCTGGATTTTGGGAGGTAAAATGCAAAAAAAACAAGAAAAATAAGGTTACAGGTATTTACAATACAGTATTTTTGTCATGTTTAGGTTTACAGACTTTGAATACACAGAGGCGAGAATCAGTTAAAGGGTTTTTATTGAAGGTTTGAGGCTGTACAAAGAAGTCTGGCTGGCAGGGTTTTCTGGGTTCTGCTGGAAGACGTTTGGTGACAGGTGAGCAACAGTTCGGTGCTGGTTTGAAAAGTGAGGGATTTTGTGACTCAGAGAGGGCGGCTTGGTGTCTGTCTTGGGAGGATGGTGACCAGTTGTCCAGGCGAATGGTGCAGGTCCGCTGGGTGAGATCTGATGGTGGTGTCAGAGGGTGGACAGGCAGGTAAGCTCAGGCAGGAGGGCTTTAAGCTGTTCAGAGGCCCGTAGCCTCACTGGTTCCTGGAGGCTGACTGATACGTCTTTGACAGAAGTCCAGAGCGAAGAGGTCTCTGAGGAGTGGTTTCAGGCTTGGGATCCTGGGTTCTGAGAAAAGGAGCAAACAGAGCACGGGGTTAGAATAAGGTAAAGCTTAGAAGCAAGGCTTGGTAAAAGATCAGTTGTACCATGCTGGAGCATTAACGAACTGACGCCCTCCTCCTGGTTCCAGCTCCTTAAAAAGGGTGTTAATCAGCTAGATGAAGATTACCTGTCTGTCCAGCTCTGCTGAGGAGAGAAAAAGGAAAAACCGCCCTGCACCCAGGCCTAGGAGTATGACAGCTTTGGAATTTATAGTGAAAGATATAGACATATGGTAGATATTTGAAGCTTTATGATTTGTTTTCTCTAACATGAACTTTCCTAACAACCAACATTATTGCACAATAAGTGAAAAGCTTAGAAGTTTTCTATGTTCCCAAACTCCTTACCCAGAAACTAACAGTGAAAGTATATCATAACACAAGTAACAGTTAAATTGACCCTTTTTTTTCATTGTATACAAGGACATTAAATATGTACATGATAATGACACCTTAAAAAAACGGTATTTCATAATGAATTGAATTTTCTATTTAATTACAATTTAAAATATCCCAATTTGACTTTATAAAGCAGGAATATGGTTAAAGTGGGATAACTGCCACACAGAAGGGAAGAGAGTTGCAGATGATGCAGATTTATGCATTGTGTTGTTTTCCAAACAACAGTAAAGTCTTGTGACAATGGACTGGACCAACAACCCTGGAGTGAAAAATCCTAATGCCTGCAGTTTATCACAATGGCAATGTTGGTTTAAAAAAAAAGTCTTAATTTTTATTAATTTTTATTTTTTATTTGAACTTTGGAGATATTTCCTAAAATAAGAGAACAAATTGACTTCATTTTTAGAAAGATGTAAAAGCACACTTGGTTTCCAGAACAGAGATTATTGTAACACCCTGGACAATCATCTTATGGTAAACTTAACCCCTAATTCAGTAAAGCAGATTCTGTTTCCAATAATACATTTGATTTTCAACTCAGCCACCTGGTTGGATTCAGTGGAAACAGTAAAAGAAAACTTCTGATGTTTGCATTTTTATCTGTGTGTGTTCTTTTTGGAGAACAATAAAAAATAAACACCATTTTGTTTCCAAAACTGAAATAAGCCAAGTTACTTTCAGTGACAAACTTTTTAATCCTCTATTTTATCCCTTACAGCTTCTTCCTGGTCTTCTCCTGTCTCATCCTGTCTGTCTTTGCAACCATCAGAGAGTATAAACAAAACTCAGAAAACGCCTTATACATCTTGGTAAGTCACATGTACTGTATTTTAACCCTTTTCTATAGAAAAATACTAAAAATCTCTGTTACATGCCAGTTCTGATGACAAAAACACATTAAATTGACTGTAAAATGAATTCATAATTGTGATAAATGTTTCTTCTTTTATCTATATACAGTGAGACTGAGTTCAACTCTCCCTGAAACTCTTAATCCTCTTTCTTAATCAAAAAAACTCATTTATCTTTTTCAAAAGCCTTTTCTATTAACATCTGCTTCTTTTCACAGGCTTCCTGTAACTCCCTAATTTCATTTTCATTTGTTGTGCAGGAAATTGTGACTATTGTGGTGTTTGGAGTTGAGTACATTGTGAGGATATGGGCTGCTGGATGTTGTTGTCGATACAGAGGATGGAGGGGGAGGCTGAAATTTGCCAGAAAGCCTTTCTGTGTCATAGGTGAGGAAACAAGCTCCTCTGAGGCTCTCATTTATTTTAACTCATTCTATCAGAACAAAGTTTAGACATTTTAATCTTTATATCTGTTTTTCTTATGATTAGATGCCAAAGACTTTGAAAGCTTGACAATACCTATTTATGATTGATAAAAATTATTAGTTAACCCTTTCTTTAACTGTACATCTATAACCATTGAATAATATGGTAATAACATAGCAAGTTACACTATATTACTAAGTAAAAAACAAAAAAGGAAAACTTCATGGAGAATTTTAGCAACTGCTTTAAACCACAGTATTTTTAGTCATTTCACAGACAGAAATAAATGAATGTGTTATTTTCCAGTAATATGCAGTTTATTACTTGACATATAACAGAAAACCAAACCTAAAAGACGGCAAGCCAATCTTCTTAACCCAACTCTTATTTATCTGTAACTTGAGTTCAGTTTAATAATGCTTTATTTACCTATTCATAAGTTACAATTTACTTTGTAAGCCATTGGTAGGCGGTGGCCAATAATAGAAACTGTTATGTGGAAACCTTAAGGTAATTACCCAGCAAAATGCTCTATTGTTACATAGTAATGAAATATGCAGGTAATTACTTTGAAATTATATACCTTAATTTGCGTTAATTACCAACTTAAGTTTTTCTTGTTACCTAGTAATATAGTGTTACTACCCTGTTATTACATGGTTATTGATGTACTATAAAAGAAAGTGTTACCAGTTATTACATATAACAAATCTTGTAATCTGTATTCAAATATTATCCTCTGCTTGCTTTGCAGACATGATGGTACTGATTGCTTCAGTGTCTGTGCTGGCAGCAGGATCTCAGGGGAATGTTTTTGCTACCTCGGCCATCAGGAGTCTGAGATTCCTACAGATCCTGCGTATGCTTCGAATGGACCGCCGGGGAGGCACCTGGAAGCTGCTCGGATCTGTTGTTTACGCCCACAGCAAGGTGATCCAGACGTTTTACTCTCATTATACACACCCTGCTTCTCTTTAATGCATTTTATACAGAGGCTAAAAGCTGTTGAAAAAAAATAGGACCTAAATTGATCAGATACGTTATCTGTGTTTCTCAGGAGGAGAAAAATGTTTGGTGAATTGATCCATTGTTTAAACATTGTGGAATTTCTATTGCTTAATACTTTTTTTTTTGTTTGAGATTCAGGGTCTCTCTGTGATAAGATGAAGGGGGCTGCTTTGTTTATAAGAGTCTGTCCCTAACTGCGCCCGACCTTGTACCATTGCCCATACGTATCTGTTTTGGAAAGTTTGAGTTTCCTCCAGCAGTTAGTAGCTTAGCCCAGCAGCCTCGCAGCAAGGGGGTTTTCCTTTGTTTCTGAGTTGTATCAGGGAATCTCTCCTCCTCCACTATATACATTATATATATTATAAAAACATCTTACAAGTTCTTGAATTTCAATATGGAATGTTGCGAACAGTCCGTTTTGTAGCAGTTCCTTTCTGACATTTCAACACCAGACTCAGCCTTGGTCAGTCTGGAGATGTGTGCCTTGAGCCCAGAGATGGCAAAAGTACTCACTTTCCGTACTTGAGTAAAAGTACAGATACTTGTGTTAAAAAATACTCTGGTAAAAGTGGAAGTACTGATTAAACTTCTTTACTCAAGTAAAAGTAACAAAGTACAGGCTTGTAAATTTACTTAAAGTATAAAAGTAAAAGTAGAAACCACTTTTTTCATGCCGTTGCCTACATTTTAAATGGATGTCTGCCAATAGGACTAGATCTCCGTTGTGTTCATTTTCAATCATCTCGTCGTCCGTGCTACTATGCTAACGCCACCGCCACCAAGCTGCAATGATTTGCCGCCAATGAATACCGCCGAATCTGTCGATTCATCTTGTAGTGGTGCGTCAAATGCAACGTAGATTCCCATCCAATTAGAATGAATTTGGTATTGATGACGTGAAAAATAATAACGGTAACTCCATTGAAATGATTCAAAACTAAAGTAACGAGCCAATTTTTTAAAATGTAAGGAGTAGAAAGTACAGATATTTGTGTAAAAATGTAAGGAGTAGAAGTAAAAAGTCACCATAAAAATAAGTAGTAAAGTAAAGTAAAAATATCACAAAAATCTACTTGAGTACAGTAACGAAGTATTTGTACTTTGTTACTTCCCATCTCTGCTTGAGCCTGGGTCTTCATGGTGGTTCCCTCTTCCAGTGTGGCCCCCAGGGCAGCTTCATAGACAGAGAAGGAAATCCTGTGTGCTGTGGTGTTTTACTATTCTCACACTCTGTGGGGGGCCAAGGCACACCTCTCTGGGAGGTATCTGAAGTCGGGCTTACACTGTGTGATTTTCTGCCCTTTTCGAGGGGGCAACTCCTGCGAGAAAATTTCTGATCGGCCCAACTTTCAGATTGATCGTGCGTCATGCATGTGTTGTGTACAGGTGGTATTGAGGGGTGACCGGCCTCTCATGACCACCTTCCGATCAGGAATCGTGGGGTCAGGAGAAAATCAAACATGTTTGATTTCAGTCAACAAGTCTTGGACAAATCGCTCAGTGGGCATGCGAGGAAATTATGAAAACACAGAAGCATGGCGGGGGTGGGATTGAAATTGTATTCTTTCTGTAAAATTGACAGAGCGTAGTAGCCACATTTGGTCAGCCATATCTTTTTCCAAATATGTAATCGCCTTTTCTTCTTAGGCCCTCAGCACAAAATTACACAAATTGCCAAAGCCGCACATTTCTCTTTAGTGAGCTTCATATTCCTCTTCTACTCATTTGGGTTCCGGATAGACGAGTCTGAGTAGCCCCATGTTACTGCAGAGGTGAGTCTGACGTGGTTTTAGACGTACAGTGTGAGCAGGTAGATCGCATCAGAGCGTCGTGCTGCACAGTGTGAGAACATACACATCTTGAGCAGTGTGAGCTGTAGCTGTAACGATTGAAAAAAATCGCACAGTGTATGCCCGGCTTTATAGAAACAGTTGGGGGAAGGTTTGCAGAAGCTTTGATAGGCCAGCAGCACTGTGGAACAGAACTTAAACCTCTACTCCAGTGACTGTGTTAAGATGATGCATTGTTTCAGGTCATGGAATAACAATAGTATGGTATTGTGTAATACTCATCAACCAATGGCCTCACATGGACCAGGTTCCCAAACGTCTTCAGAGAAGGCAGGGGGAAGACGGCAAAGGTTGAGTCGATGATGCCTCTGAAGGCCAGTGGGAAGCAAGATTTGAGGTAGAAGTATATTGTTTGGGTCATGTTGCCTGCTAATTTTTCTACAAACCTTGAGCGTTTTTGCTGGCGTCTCACCATGGCGAAGCCCAACAGAAAAAAATTATGGTCCATCCTGCTATATCTGAGCTTACAACATTCTACAAGATTATGCCTGTTCAAGGACTGCACCTAGCTTCCGATTCTGCTGCCTTAACTTTTCAGTTTGAGTGTTGATAGCTCTGCAGATTCTCTTATAAATGCAGGGCAGCCTAACAATGGCCAAAATAGCTGCAGACATTTCATGAATTTCGCAATATCCAAGGTATCCACCAACTCCAAACTGCAGAAATCCTGCTATCAAAAATCCTATTATATACCCATTTTTTATGTCCTCGACAGACATCATCTTCAGGCACACAGTCTTCCATTTCTGTCAGGAGTTTATTGTGTATCTGCAGAAAAACATCCTGTCTGGACAGGAGGGTTCCCTCTTAACCTTTTTCAAAATTTCTGTCAAAAAAATGTTATCAACTAAAAAAGCGGCTCCAAACGAATACCAGACAGGGCTGAAGCAGTGCAGACAGGGGAGGGTGCGGGAGACAGAGAAAAAAAAAGCATCCTTCTCCACAGAGAGAAAGTCAGAAATGTTTTGCTCTTGTTACTCAGCTTCTTGTAAAAATCAAATAAACCATAGATTGCAGAGTCATCAGAGAATTTCTGCAGATGACAGGAATCTGTCTGGTAGTGGAAGTCAGAGGTTAACAGAGTTAAAAAAGGAATGATGAGAATACCTGGTTAAACACTTGCCCCTTCAGTCTCACAAACAGTGGTCTGTTTATCAGGTAGCCTCTGATCCTGGTGATGCTGTGGCCTCAACATGAATATTCTGGAATTTCCTTAAAATACAGGCTGAAGGAATCATGAAACATGATTTTCTCTGTGTGTCTTTGAAAGGAGTGTAGCTTGTTTATCATAAGAGTTGAGAAATCTCATAATTTTAACATTAAGAGCCGGAAAAACTAATGACCTTAATCGCCAAACTCGTCATTTTGACAATTGACAACAGACTTGACTGGAGACACAATTCTGACGCAGATTGGCTTTCTAGAAGAAGTTTGAGTCCTTCAGTGTTTGCAGCAAAATGCTGCAGATCTTCTATCAGTCTGATGTGTAGAGTAGGATATCTTCTGCAATCGTCTGCCTGGGTAAGAGAATCGGAGTAAATGGTAAATGGTCCTTACTTATATAGTGCTTTTTGAAGTCCAAGGACTTAACCAAAGCACTTTTCAATACATTCAGTCATTCACTCGTTCACCTGTTCATGTACACACTGATGTTGGTAATTTACACTGTAGCCACAGCTGCCTTGGAGCTCACTGCTGCACTCTGGCACCACTGGACCCTCTATCCACCAGTAGGGTGAAGTGTCTTGCCCAAGGACACAATGGAACCGGGGCTTGAACTGATAACCTTTGGTTGCAGGGCAAACTCCTTCATCCGATACCACTGTTGCCACATAAGCAAATGACGCACAAAAAATTAACAAGCTGATAAAGAAGGCTGGTCATGTTCTATTAAATCCTCTGGAATCTCAGGAAATTATTTCACAAAGAAGAATTCCTCATAAAGTGAAGAACATTATTGACAACAATCAACATCCTCTTAGGAAGACTGTTAAAAAACAACATTCTTCTGTAAGACATGTTCCCAAAAATCTGGTGCAAGACAGACAACTACAGGAGATGGTTCCTGTCTACATTTATCAGCATCTACAACATTACATAAATGCTCGTTAGTTAAAGCAACATTTAATTTCCATTTGGGATGAATAGTCTATTCTAGCACCGAATTTGAATGGAATTTGATCATCTTGTCTCAAAAAAGGGAGCTTCTCTTGTCGAGAGGAACTTTTTTAAACATCATCATACAGAGGAAAAAGGATTTTTTTCATCACAAAAGACAGAATAGATCATTATCTCAATACAGCTATTTTACATGAATCATAGTTGTAGCTTCTCTATCTTTTCTAGATACCTCAAGCTTAATGAGCTTCAAGATAACAGAGTTAGTTGGTTTTGTAATCAATTTATATGCCTCATCTTATGACCCAGTAAGGATTTTATTAAATATCTATATTGCTTTTATTATTGTTGCATCTTTCAATGCCAGCATGTTTTGCCAAGATACAGGTTTAAATATCCCCTAAGCCCCAGTTAATAACAGCAGTTTTGACTTATTGGAAAAAGAAAGATCTCAATATCTTTATATAAGTGAGTTTATTTTGTTGCAGTAATGCTTTCAAGAACATATTAAGGAAATAAGTATTTGATTAAAAAAGTATGGACTTTGTTTTGTATTTAAAACTGTTGAAGTATCTTGTTATTTCAAGATATCACAGCTTTTATCAATATGATAACATTTTAAGAATGTAATTATTTAAAGATATGGTACTTGTTTTGAATTAAAGCCCTGAACACACCAAATACCTTTTCTGTGTCCAATCTGAAAAAAAATTATGTCATACGTAAGAGATCATGGCACTTTGAATTGAGAATGAATGGGGAGAAATACACCAAACACGATTTTCTGCAAGGTGGGTCTGAGTGAGATAGACCCCATGTCTGTTTTTATCGGACTACGCAGAAATTCAGCAATATTTCCATAGGTCCGACAGAAAGAGAGATGCGGTTGCATCCAATTTGGGGGAAAATAAAAAGTAAAATCACCCAATCACAAGGAAAAACAGTCAGGTTTGCCCCGCTTAAACTCACACAGTGCATACTTAGCAAGGCAGACTTGGGCATAAAAATTCAAAAAATATTTCAATAAACAGAATACTTTACTTGTAATAAGAGTTGAGGAAGACAGAAAATGGTTAAAGTTAAATAGTGAGCCTTTTTGAGCCTAAAAAGATGAAAATACTCTATACGCACTGCAGTTAATGTGACACAAAAAAAACCTGGAGGCGATGTGTTCTTTAACTAGCCTTTCGAAGCCCTTCATCATGATTGCAGTCAATGTGACAGGCCAGTAATCATTAAGTGAGGTGACCTGAGGCTTCTTTGGGACCGGAATGATGGTGGCAGACTTGAAGCATGCATACCTGTTTACATACCTGGTTAAAAAAAAACCTGATCAAGTTTTTCCAGGAGAATTATCTCCACACTTGTGTGTTTGTAGTGTATTGTGTTTCAGGCACAGTCTCTCACTTCTGGGATGTAATACTAATTCCCATCTCCTTTTCACATTTCTCCTTAAAGCTACAGTGTGTAATAATTACAGGGATATACAGTCAGAAATGTAATATATTATACATAACTATGTTATTTTATCATCATCTACGAGCTCAGCCTCTTAACCTTAATATTTGCGTTGCCTTAGAATTCGTTATTTATAATTACATAGG